AACATGCGTTTCTCAAGCAATACTTATATGGTGACAAAACATGGTAAGAAATGTGAACATGTGATAGGTCAATGAAAACGATAAGTAATTCGAGTTAGCAGCGTAAGCGAATTAGTGAGAGACTATCTGATGTACCTCATCAGAATAATGGTCATATCTGACGGAGCAAATATGATAGAAAAATGATTGTTTAATAATACAATTTGAATAATTATTAAAAATCTAAGGAATTTAATTGAGAATCATATGTTTTTCATAATTTTTATTGTCTGATTATACAGCCAAATTGATATCTTTAATTACAAGGTCAAAATACTTATGTGAATTTTGCTTCTTTTGATCGTACAATTATGTATGTTAACTAATTAGTTAAGAGTCAATAATGAACTTTATGAAATTGTCTAGTGTGTTTATTTTGAATAAGATTTAAATGATATTGAGTTCTATTTCCAAATGTTTGATCATATCCACGCCCACTCTCAACTTTCATTTCTTTCTCCGTATCTCCGATACAACGTGTGTTGATGTGTTTTGGTTAAGAGGCATGATAATATGAATAATGTCCAGATTTCATTGAAATTCTTATCGACATAGTGACAATCAGAAGAACTGGAAAAACAGGAATGTATATTTTAACTAAATTTTAAATAGATGTGTTTACATCATTCATCTGTCACTTAGGTTAATTATATGCTTTAGTAATTAATTTTGTCATGGAGATTGATGATAATTTTTTTACTTAGTTGATTTTATATTACTTTAAATTATTGCATTATATCAGTATTTAAAACCCAATACTTTCACTTTTTCAATTATTTCATTTCATAGATAAGTGTTCAGCTGTGTTTGGACAGTGTTTTCCGTCTATCGATTGTGTGGTCAATTTTTTCATTATTCTGTATTTTATCGTTTTTGTATCCCGTATTGTTACCAAAATGATGTGCTGTCGTTTCACTAGTGATATCACTATGATTACTGCATCATGGCACTGTGTGAAACTAATTTATTATGGTATTTTATTTTCACTGAAACTCTAGTAGAGTAAGTGAAACTTAGGCAAATGCACATAGGTGCTGAAAAGGAAACTGAATGCCGTATTTTTTGTCGCTTTTGTTGTTTGGAGATTAACAATAAAGTTTATTACAAGCAATGCGCCCTTCATTATACTCATTCTCTTTTTGTGTTTTATTTTTCGTCTCTGATATCTCCCTTGAGTTCAATATGTCGATAAACCTCTATGGCGCTTCATCAATTGAGTCCTGCAAAGAATAGCAGTAGGATCCAGGTTGGTTCATTTGATTGAGCTTGAACTTCACAGGTTTATCAGGATCATAAGACACGTTGTGTAATGAACTGAAATGACGGAAAAGATATATGTTTTAATTTTGAATGAGATTTCTTCACCTGTGTGCCACGCTTTATGGCGTTCTTACTTGTTTCGGTGGGTTTCTACTGGGAATTAAGAGTAATTCTGTTTGTTATCTTCTCTCTAAATTCAGGCAATTTCGATGGATTAAAATGGTTTAATAGAGTTTAAGGAAATTATCCTGAACAAGGTAATTACATTGTTAGCATTGAAAAAATCGTCCAGCCAACAGGACTATCAAAAAGATTACGTGTCAGATGATTAGCTGGAAAATAATGCAAATGATGGTAATTATTAAATCTTTGTAACATTGGTGATCATTTCTAAGTCTTATGTAACCATACACGTATACCGGCAGCATAGAATAGTGGCACCGTTTCACCAGTTGTAAATGCGAACATTACGGTACCAGCAAAGTATACTACAACTGCCAGCAGTTTTAATATTCTCAGCCCCACCTTATCCATCAGTATTCCAGCAAATACAATAAGACACATTTGTGACACCATCCAAACCATGAAAACAACTCCGAACATATCATAATGATAAGAGCAGACATTTTCCGTACAGTTGTAAGCGTAGACGCCAACTGATTTGTAGACTGTGATGAGGGAATTGAAGCCATAGTGATAGCCACCAAAAAGAAAAACATCGAAAATTGCTAGCACCAATCCGAGCCAACGGCGAATTTTCGGTAGGAAGATATTATCGAATTTCTGACCTATAATAAAGAGATAATTAGAATAACGCTGTGACAGTAATGATCATTTCTAAGTCTTATGTAACCATATAAGTATAATTGCTGGAGTGACAAACCAACGAATAAGACGTTGGTAGATTTTCTAATGGATGAACATAGGCACTCAATGTGTACACAGTCCCAACTTGAATCGGTAAGAAAAGGCTGATACAAACGTACAACAGTAATTCGGTGTTGATGGTTTTTAAAAATGTTTACGAAGCATTTGAACATTATCGACAAAAGCTTATACGGCCTAAATATCCCCAGTCAGTTAATCTTGTGATTTGTAGGACCTGACACATGTGCGTGAGTCTGTTTAATTCTCCATGCCACAAAAGAATGGTCAGATAAAATATCATTACGAACATCAGAGTTGTAGAGGCGGTAATAGTGTAAGTATTGACAGAAAACACTAGTTGTACATTTGAGATAGTGAGAATGAATTCATGGAACAGATGAGGGATCTCAATAAATGTCTGGCATGTATAATAAACACCTGCTATATTCATTGATCTTGTTCACCCACACATAGAGAAGAACAAGGTAGTCGTATTTTTACGAATCAAGCACTTGTATTATTCAAAGTCACATGAAACAAAAGTATAGGGTATTCGAAATATATTGTTAATCATTTGGCCTAACTATCTCAGGAGAATAATGGCAAAGGACATTTGATTGACACTGATCGTTTGCTCAGCTTGTGTATCGTATATTGATAGTATTAGGTCAAAATGGCCTGAACATGATTTGCATACGTATGTTTGTTGTAATACTCTAACTCATTAGTCTTTCATCAAAAACTGATATCACTGGTTGTATCAGGATCCTTCAGTAGAGAGTGGGTTAAATAATTATAATTAGTTTATATGAGAAGTCACCTTTATTTTTTTAATGGTCTTTTATAAATCATTCTAGATAAACTCAAAAAGAAATTCAATTTCAGGACATCATACATCCCAGTTACTCTACGTTTACGACTTCATGATGTTAATTGGATTGTGCCTTACATGTTATTAAATTAACAGCTTAGAGAATGATCAAATCAGCACTTCAACTGCAATGATAATTGATACGGCACGAATATGTCCTAATATGCTACATATATATTTGGTGAACTACAATTTATGAACGACCTTTGGGCGACGCTGAAGTAACTTTGAGAGTGAACAACTTCCAATAAGGTTTAAATGAGGGTTATAAAGCAGTTGAAATTCTCATTTACAGTTGGTGGTTAGGGTTAAAAATTAGATTTAGGGTTTTCATCACGAATTGACATCAGCTATAATGTCGAAACTCTAGTTAACCAAATGTATAAACGAAGTCTGGGCCCAAATTCATTATTTGTTATCTTATATATGATTGGTTTGTCCATAAATTATAGTCACTCCATTTTTCTCAGTATATAGAAATACGTGGAAGAACTTGAAACAACGTCGAAAAAAAATGCAAAAGAAGGAAATATGAAACAACTATGATACAACGAAGAAACTAGCAGAGAAATATAGTAAAGCAGAGACCAGTCAAGGACAAAGAAGGCAAACCAATCAATGAGATTTAAGATTAGAATAACAGGATGGTAGAATACTTTGAAGAACACTTGAATAGACCAGACTCACTGAACCCATCAGACATCGAGGCAACACACACAGGCTTTCCTATAGATGTCAAACCAACAAATTAAGCATAACCATCAGACAAATCAGGAGTGGGAAAGCAGCAGGACCACACAACATAACAGCCGAAGAACTGGAGTCAGACATGAAAATAACCGCAGAGATGTTCTACGTTCTATTCATGAAGATTTGTGAGGAAAAACAAGTGCCGATAGTCTGGAAAGAGGGACACCTCATCAAGATACCAAAGAAAGATCTGAGCGAAATTGAGAATAACAGAGTTATCACACGACTGTCATTACCAGGACAGGTTTTCAACTAATTGTGGCTGAAGTGGATGAAAGATTCAGTAGACACCCAACTTTGAGATCAACAGGCTTGTTTCCACAAGGATCGGTCGTTGAACAATCAACTGGATGTGACTCGTCACTATATATCAACTCCTTTGATTATGAGAAATCACTTGACAAAGTAATTTGAAGAATATTGTGGGAACATCTTCGATATTATTGTTTACCAGAGAAGATGGTTAACGACACACGGAAATCACGCAACGAACCACACTGCAAAGTCGTCCATGGAGGATAGCTGACTAACTCATTCGAAGTGAGAGCCGAAGTCAGACAAAGCTACCTACTCTGCCCCTTTCTCTTGCTTCTGGATTATGAAGACATCGATATCTGACAGCAAGCACTGAATACAATGAACAGCTTCGAAGCAAATTCTGACGGAAATATGCCTTCATAAATGTAATTTTTTAATTATATAACCAGTAAATATACATCGCTTAACGTTAGTAATGTAAACATTCTGTTTATTATGGTAAGTGTTGATGAAAGCGTTTTAATTTAAGTTTCGGAGAAAGGATTGCTTCAAGTTGACTGGATTATGAGGAAACCAACAAATGAGGGGAAGCACAGAATACAATTGACACCTTAAAAGCAACTGGACTATTTGGATTTCGTAGATCACCCAGCCATTCTATCATAAACACCCGAAAAAATGCAGGTCGAAACAACCAGTGTAGCAACAGCCACTACATCACAAGGCCTTAAAACACACAATGGAAAAAGCAAGATCGCCAAATACAACACGGTGAACACCAACACAATCACACTTCATGAATAAACTCTAGAATATGTGGGATCTGTCACGTGCCTGTATTTTCTGATGTACTTCATCAAAATTATGGTCATATCTGACGGAGCAAATATGATAGAAAAATGATTGTTTAATAATACAATTTGAATAATTATTAAAAATCTAAGGAATTTAATCAAGAATCATATGTTTTTCATAATTTTTATTGTCTGATTATACAGCCAAATTGATATCTTTAATTACAAGGTCAAAATACTTATGTGAATTTTGCTTCTTTTGATCGTACAATTATGTATGTTAACTAATTAGTTAAGAGTCAATAATGAACTTTATGAAATTGTCTAGTGTGTTTATTTTGAATAAGATTTAAATGATATTGAGTTCTATTTCCAAATGTTTGATCATATCCACGCCCACTCTCAACTTTCATTTCTTTCTCCGTATCTCCGATACAACGTGTGTTGATGTGTTTTGGTTAAGAGGCATGATAATATGAATAATGTCCAGATTTCATTGAAATTCTTATCGACATAGTGACAATCAGAATAACTGGAAGAACAGGAATGTATTTTCAACTGCATTTTTCAGGAAGTTATTATCATTACATGTATCCGAATGTCATTCTTCACTTATACATTGGTTGTTCCTTTTTTTGACATTCAAATTCCAATATTACATCGCGTAATCCCCTATTTGTGGTACATGTTGTATTTTTATGATGTATATAATTTCTCATGTTAGCAGATGGAAACAACTGGGAATAATTTTTGATAATAAATAGTTTGACGTCAGTAAATCAATGAGTCTGACATTATAAATTTTAGCAAACTGAACTACTGGTAGATCCACTTTCAGATATTCAAACCTTTATTTTGCCCATCCTTGATATTTTAAAGATCTTTCTTTAATACAGTTAGTAACCGAGCTCCTTCACATACTGCATAGAACTAAATATTCTGTTGCTTCTTAACACCAACAAATACTTCATTCACTCACCATAGGTTTAAGACATATCTTTAATTTATGATATTTAGGCAAGCCTGGTCTTATACATTCCACGAATCTGCTTGTTACTATTTAGGAATGTTTTGATTCATAAAATGGAGGAGAGACAATAAACACCAATTATCGATCACTCAAATAATTAAATAAAGTCGTTTTTCTTTAAAGGTTTCATCCTAGTTACTTACTAACTACGCCTGTTAGCCTTCATAGAACCTAGTCTACCAAAGATGGTTATTTAACAAAATGTCCTGCACTCTCTTGTCCAGTTTTTGTCGAGTACTGTGTCGTTTTCCAAAGACGATTAACCATGTCTTGTAATTTCATTCTCAACTCCTTCTGTGTAGACTAACACTTCAGGTTACATTTTTTATGAACAACATGACATTAAGAGAGTTTTTATGTTAATTTCGCTTGTTATGTGAGACGATTCACGGTAGCGTTTATAAACAATGGTCATTTTCTGGCCAGCTTTTGCCGATTATTATTAAAAGAAAATATGTTTCAACACCGGACCCCAGCATAAATTTTTATTATTGAAAAAATAAATTAACTAGCAAAAGTTTACACCATATAAGTTGTTGCAAAATTTAAATATTGAAGCATTCATATCTAATTTTGGATCTTAATATAAAAATAAAAACAAGGTTTTCATAAGATCACAACACTGACTGATTTATTGTCTTGATTTGATCAGAAAAATAATAGGTACAATAAATATCCCGATCGATATCGCCATGGTTGCATAATTATCTGTAGATCTGCTGGTACGAAGAAAGGCATTCGTCGAGAGACTTATTAAACCAGATACCGCACTAGTAATGCCATTCAATGTACCAAAATAACGTATTGGGAATGCAGACAGAAGAAAGCTAATGAAGCAACTGAATAAGAGTGACCTTAATACAACCAAGAATACGAACGATGCATAAGAAGCTATAGGACTAGGTATAAACATCATTGCACTCAGAGCAACAGCAGAGAGAGCCAAAAGACCTTGTCCAGGGACTAGGCCAAGTGTTAGAGTATAATACATTTTATCGGGATTTGCTAAATCACGTTCGTTGGTGAGCATGTTTTTAATGCCCGTTCGAGCTCTTTTGAGACAGAAGTCAATCATAAGACCAGTAACTGGTGACAGTAAGAAACTCGACATGAAGAATGCTGAGGAAATACTTAACAAATGATCCGCAGTTGGCTTGTCGTCAGAATACGCATCATTTATGTGTTTTGCTAAGTGCGATAGGTAAAATGAGAAACGAAACAAACCCAAAGTAAACCAAAGATTAATCAGTAAGTATGGTAAAGAAATAACACAACTTAATAAAGATGGGTAACGTTTATCCAAAATTGAAGATATTTCTCCATAGATATCCATTTCTCCAGAACTTTCAATTGACGTTTTCTGTTACAAAACAAATATAAAAAAGAACAACAATAATAACCGTCAGCGGTGGGAGAATTGCGTTCATATCTGTATTAGATTCTAAGATTCACTTCGACTTCTAAACCACGAATTTATGTCAAGTTGAATAGATAATGACAAAATAAAACGGAAAATAATACATTGTCCCATCATAGTAAATATAAATGGAGAACTGTAAAAGATCAGTAAACTACGGTGTGCATAACGAGCAAGATTCTGTTATTAGGAAAAATGTCATTTCATACCTATTATTGAGATCTTTGTGAAAGCGTCTTTCTCTCATCAAAAACCCACATTCACACTCAATGGGAATGAAAACAGATTGTAACAGATTTCAGACAAACGCGATCTGTGCAGAATAGGGAGTTCAATGATTGTATTTGATTTTGCCGCACATTACAGTTTATTAGAATATGTGAACTGCCTACAAAATTTAAGATTCTGTCGATTCTGAAATCCCGTCATTTTTACCTTTAATGGTTTTGCTATGGATAGTTTCTACTGCAATTGAAACAAGCAGTCTAATCTATCCTGCACGTGAAATAGCGCACCGATCATTTCATGAAATTATCTTTTTGTATGTCAGAATATGACAAGTTTGAACTAAATCTACGCACATAATTATGTTATTGCACAACTGAGGCTAAACTGACTGGTGTTACTCGTTGAAGTGTTTTAGTAGGAGAACATCATTCTAAGTTAAACACTGCAAAAGATAAACATCACTGATAAAGTTTACAACATCGAATGTGGTTAGATTTTCAATATAAATATATTCAGACCGGTTGCCTTAAAAACACAAATCTGCGTTTCTGTCTGCAAATATAACAATAGTTTATTATCACTCACCTCACATAACTTTTCTTCTTCTGTGTTGATGGAGGAGAATTTCCCCATATCTTCAGATTTCTGAGTAAGGATAAAGAGTGCCACAAAACTGCCCACAACTACTGAGCCACAAGCCAAAATAATAAACGACCATTTGAATGGGAATACAAGATAAGTCAACGACAGCACATAAGCTACAACCGAACTTGAGTCGTACGCTCCAGACAAAAGCGATATACAAAGACCACGAAACTGTGGGAACATGGAACTGACTTGATGATTGCATATCAAGCTGCATATACTACTTAAAGCGACAAGTATACCAGCAGCATAGAATAGTGGCACTGTTTCACCAGTTGTAAATGCGAACATTATGGTACCAGCAAAGTATACTACAACTGCCAGCAGTTTTAATATTCTCAGCCCCACCTTATCCATCAGTATTCCAGCAAATACAATAAGACACATTTGTGACACCATCCAAACCATGAAAACAACTCCGAACATATCATAATGATAAGAGCAGACATTTTCCGTACAGTTGTAAGCGTAGACGCCAACTGATTTGTAGACTGTGATGAGGGAATTGAAGCCATAGTGATAGCCACCAAAAAAAAACACATCGAAAATTGCTAGCACCAATCCGAGCCAACGGCGAATTTTTGGTGGGAAGACATTATCGAATTTCTGACCTATAATAAAGAGATAATTAGAATAACGCTGTGACAGTAATGATCATTTCTAAGTCTTATGTAACCATATAAGTATAATTGCTGGAGTGACAAACCAACAAATAAGACGTCGGCAGATTTTCTAATGGATGAACATAGGCACTCAATGTGTACACAGTCCCAACTTGAATCGGTAAGAAAAGGCTGATACAAACGTACAACAGTAATTCGGTGTTGATGGTTTTTAAAAATGTTTACGAAGCATTTGAACATTATCGACAAAAGCTTATACGGCCTAAATATCCCCAGTCAGTTAATCTTGTGATTTGTAGGACCTGACACATGTGCGTGAGTCTGTTTAATTCTCCATGCCACAAAAGAATGGTCAGATAAAATATCATTACGAACATCAGAGTTGTAGAGGCGGTAATAGTGTAAGTATTGACAGAAAACACTAGTTGTACATTTGAGATAGTGAGAATGAATTCATGGAACAGATGAGGGATCTCAATAAATGTCTGGCATGTATAATAAACACCTGCTATATTCATTGATCTTGTTCACCCACACATAGAGAAGAACAAGGTAGTCGTATTTTTACGAATCAAGCACTTGTATTATTCAAAGTCACATGAAACAAAAGTATAGGGTATTCGAAATATATTGTTAATCATTTGGCCTAACTATCTCAGGAGAATAATGGCAAAGGACATTTGATTGACACTGATCGTTTGCTCAGCTTGTGTATCGTATATTGATAGTATTAGGTCAAAATGGCCTGAACATGATTTGCATACGTATGTTTGTTGTAATACTCCAACTCGTTAGTCTTTCATCAAAAACTGATATCACTGGTTGTATCAGGATCCTTCAGTAGAGAGTGGGTTAAATAATTATAATTAGTTTATATGAGAAGTCACCTTTATTTTTTTAATGGTCTTTTATAAATCATTCTAGATAAACTCAAAAAGAAATTCAATTTCAGGACATCATACATCCCAGTTACTCTACGTTTACGACTTCATGATGTTAATTGGATTGTGCCTTACATGTTATTAAATTAACAGCTTAGAGAATGATCAAATCAGCACTTCAACTGCAATGATAATTGATACGGCACGAATATGTCCTAATATGCTACATATATTTTTGGTGAACTACAATTTATGAACGACCTTTGGGCGACGCTGAAGTAACTTTGAGAGTGAACAACTTCCAATAAGGTTTAAATGAGGGTTATAAAGCAGTTGGAATTCTCATTTACAGTTGGTGGTTAGGGTTAAAAATTAGATTTAGGGTTTTCATCACGAATTGACATCAGCTATAATGTCGAAACTCTAGTTAGCCAAATGTATAAACGAAGTCTGGGCCCAAATTCATTATTTGTTATCTTATATATGATTGGTTTGTCCATAAATTATAGTTACTCCATTTTTCTCAGTATATAGAATGTATTTAAAAAGTTACAACTCACGAGTGTTCTTAATTTCTATCAGCAAAATTTGTGTGTGTTTTTCGCTTAACTAGGATTAAGACTTTCGGGGCATGTTCCATGTTTTGTTTCTCAATCATTCCAGTATTTTACCAACTAATTTATATTCAAATACGCATAATACTATCGTGTTATTAAAAAGATTATCGATCGTCTGCTATCTCACGAAAGAATATTTACTTTACTGTTAGTTTTGACATAGATAAGACGTATGAAAAATAAGAAGCCGTATTGACTTACACAATTCCATCTTCTGCACTTTGAGGTGGTGTTCTCGTTGTTTTCGTGGTATTTATATTATTAGCATACTTAAACACAACGTTTTCCATTGCCCTTCTTATTCAATATCCAATAACTTTGTGACCATCAAATAATAATTATTTGCTTTAAAAGAATGAAACCCATTATAGAGATTGCGAAACAATGTATATAGACTGTATCAACCTCACTTTGATCAACAACGATGGTAGAGTTCTCTCAAAGACAGTTAATTAATTGTCATTGGATTTTGCGTCCGTTGTTTTTTATTCCTCTGTTCTGCTCTTTGATTTACGTATTACAGTTTCAGTTCAAATGGATATGAGACTAATTGTGCTCTTTTTACTCCTGCCAGTGTTGTTCTTTCTTCTGATACGACTTACTTTTTAGGAGCATCAACACACAGTGCTTCAACACTCCATTCGTCCACGACTAGTTGAGGCAGTCGATAGTAAGCTGACATCATTTTTGTTCTTGAATGGTGATTTTCTTTGGAGAATTCTCAAACCCTATTTCTCGAATGACAAGAAAAATAAGCCTAGATTAGATTCACACTTGTCACTCAGTCAATCAATAACATTTGATTCTTCTATTTGAAAACTTCAAAAGATTTGTTTTAGCTAGTCTATAGTCAAGCGGGAGGTCTGTGATTCCAGTAGTCAGCTCAGTTGCGGTTCGTCGAATCTTCTCAAGCAGCGCGCTGTCTTTTTTTAAGCACCGTCTAGACACTCTTGTGCGATGCTATAATTCTGTGCGATAGAACATTCCATACGAAGTCGAAAATAATTCACACCGACGTAGGTACATACTTTACGTGTTGTTTATAGAGTTATAAAACTTTTGGTGACTTTCTCATGTGCAAGAGTTTTAAGTCTTTGCTGACCATGACTCCGAGATTAATGCGTGTTTAGAAAACAATTAGCTCAATGTTATTCATCGTGTACCTTGGAGATCGATATGCATCTTAATGCGCTTGGAAGCGTTTATTATCAATTGCCAAGTTCTAGGTCATTTCGAATCTCTAAACCGTCGCTCTCAATTTTTATCACTCACCATCGACGTATAACAAAGCCAATCGTTATAAAAGACTAGGAAGTTTGAAACAACTCAGGTTGATTGCTCTGGGATTGACCTCAAACATCCAAGTATATGTTTAAACAGAAAACTCATTTTTTCATTCACCTTATACTCTATAGGGAGTATATTTTCTACTATCTTATAGAAAATGTTGAAATGCTGGTCAGGTAGGTCTTTTTTCGACTCACTGTCATGCCGAGAGTGTGTCCTAGGATATAAGCTTTCATAATCCTCAGCCATCTGAAAAACAAATGACCTGTCTAGGCGATCAACCTTTGATTATTCAACTAATGTTTGGGAAACTGAGTTTGCTTTCACGACATTAAATCATTCCTTATTCTTAATTTGTACCCATTCATCTTATTTCACTAGATTTGCGATCTCTGTCGTGTTATAAACACGGTGAGATCCTGGGTGGTTCCTTAAAACTAGAGTTATCAGGCTTTCGTTTCTCTTGCTATAAGAAGATCAAGCATTGTGACCAGGCATTACTGCTTTGTTTCATTTATAGAATGCGTCACAGAAGAAAACTTTCTTGAAACGACCGGTTCTTATCTCATTAAGCATAACTTTGCGTCTTGTTGTGTGTCAGCTGTGCGAGTGCCATACGATGCACCTCGACTACGCTTCATAATACGTCTCCTGGCAGAGTTCACCATTGCAATGGCTTTGGACGGCGAGCGTGTTTGCTTCCAAACAGCATGTGGTTCTTTGGTGTGCTTTAGGAATTTTCAACTAACGGTTCGTAATTAAACATGCTGTACTGCTATTCAAAGAGGTGAGTTGTAGACTGGCTTCGGCTTAATTTATAGTACAGTTGTTCTCATCTTGATTTCAACGTTACCCCTTTGACATAAGTAGTTGATACTTAAGTAGGTCGGTAGAAAAACGACTGTTCGCTGTCTGTCCATTACACCAACGAAATGAAGCTTTTAATGACATGCCGGAAACCCACCAAAATATAATATCTTTCTGAGCATATATAACATGGGTGCCCGTTTTCATCCTGTATAGATATTAACAATTTCCTTCATTAACCATATAAAAACAATCATTTATTCCTGACAAATATAATTTACATTAGGCATCCCAATTAACATGCAAGTTCAAGTTGTTACTAACGCCATGTAATTTGTTATGTTAAACTCATTGAACTATCTTCGGCCTGCCATAAAGTACGTTTTCCTGCAGAAACAGGATAACAAAATATTAGGGCATATACAGTTGGTTTTCCAATTAATGTTGAAATGTAAGCCTAAAACGTGACACATCATATGAGCATCCAGTTAGAAGGATTGAATATTGGTAGTTAGTACTCCGAGATAGATACATTGCACTAAACAAGAAATTTGCTTGCTTTTACGCCCTAGAATTATAAATAAAAGCGTAATTTTGACTCGTGTTCTCAACATGTTGTTCAGATCTTGTACTTCGAAAATGTATACGACGTTTACAAATGTAGCATTTTGAGCATCGTTTATTTCATCTTGATTACATGCATTGGATTGAAAGACCATTACTGTCATCTTATGATACTGTATTGACCAAGATTATTACCAATAAAAACTATTACTGCAATATCATCACATGCAACTGCTCAGGTCTAAGATTTTCGGTGACATACGAAAAAAGAATATCCCATTACTTTAAATATTAGGAAACCTATCAAACTTCAGTTGGACTTGTAAGCCGAGGAACATACAGGTATTCATCCTGTTTGTAGTCGCCCAAACATGCACTGTTGTGTTTTATTGGGCAACGAACATTGCCGAGTGGTAAGGCCAATAGTGTGTTATGATTTGGATCGTGTTTGCTATGACATTTATCTGTTGGGGCTCTTTAGTCACCCTGTATTTTGTTGAGCTCGGCGCAGGATTATCGACCATCGATGTCGGTTGATAACCGAAAGCTGTGATGTTGAGATGATCCCAACTTCGTATTTTCTGTAAGGGCTGTACTCAACACGGTGCTAGATGTTGTTGATAATGTACTCGTCAAATATTTTCGGCCCCAGAAAGTTGTCCACGCATTGGGCTGATAGACAGGTGCGTGATGTATCGTTACGTCAACCTAGGGTACTCTCGTAGAGGGTTCCATGGTATTCAAGGTGCCAATCATCTAGTTGAATGGTCAACAGCCTCTGAAATCCGACAAGCAGTTCAGTCGTACTATTACAAGTTAGATCATTCCTTCACCTAATAATAATCTAAGAAATGATGCCTTGTTCGGATGAGTTAATTCTGAGATCTTCGCTGGCAAGCTTTTATAGTTTCATCCGTGATAAAATGATGTTCTCTGTGGAATACATCATTTAACTTAATAGCAGCTGTTTAGCTTATACATAAAAAATACGCCACCGTTTTTATCGCTTTTCTCAACTTCTTGAAATCGCCATAACCTACGATCGATGATTTTCGTAAACAAAAATGTCATTTGCAATAAAGAAAGTCAGAATGATTCCAAACACAAGATTTACTAAGTACAAATACACAGATCATTCTGTCAAAATTGAACATAGTTTGAGTAAAAGGAAAGCCGTCAATTCTCAGCATTTACTACAGTTGTTTACAGTTACTCAATGGATTTGGTGGCAATTATTTTACTCATTCGTGAAAAGTGAGTGGTGCATGAAAAAAAAACATCTAGACCTTGTTTCAATAGATCAAGTTCACATCAATTACAGCATTTTTGTATATAGGATACAGTCACCTACAGATTCTAAAATATACAAGCAATGTTGTTCATTTCTTAGATAAGTTTTCAGCTGTGATTGGACAGTGTTTTCCGTCCATCGATTGTGTGGTCAATTTTTTTTGTTTTGTTTTTGTCTCCCGTATTGTTAACAAAAAGATGTGTTTCGTTTGATAGTGTGTAAGAAATTATACTGAACAAGGTAATTGCATTGTTAGCATTAAAAATCGTCCAGCCAACAGGACTATCAAAGAAATTACTTGTGAGATGATTAGTTGAAAAATAATGCAAATGATGGAGATTGTTAAATCTCTGTCTTCAGCATGTTTTCAAGTGTGTCACACAATATAACACATGATCAGATATATACCTTCGAATTTGCCATACATCAATTCGCTATAACTCAAAACTCTAGAGATTTCTGGAGAGAAATGTCTATAGTTGTCTACGGATTCGTGTAGTTCTAAAGACGGTTCTGATTGAGATCCGTCTACTGCGATGCTCAAACCTTTTGATAATTGTAAGTGCTCAAAATATTGGTCTAACCGGGAACTTTCGAAATAGTGCAATTCACAGCAAATAGAATTAGAATAACACAAGCAAACGTACATAATTTGGAATTCGAAATCGGGAGGCAATCAAGTACAAAGGAAGCATTAGTTCGTACAAATATCACAACCACCGTAGCTTAAATAATGTTCCACATTTCTGTATTCGATTGTATTTCTTCTTCTCAGGATTATCGTGTCTGTCTGACAGTGTATTAGATGTAGGCTCTGTATGGTTTAATTACTTACTTACGCCTGTTACTCCCAATGTAGCATAGGCCGCCGACCAGCATTCTCCAACCCACTCTGTCCTGGGCCTTCCATCCAATTCTTGTTCATTTTTCTCATGTCTACTTCCATTTCTCGGTGTTTTGTGTTCTTTAGTCTTCCTTTTTTCCTTTGGCCTTGAGGATTCCATGTGAGGACTTGTCTTGTGACGCAGTTGGGTGCTTCCCTCAATGTGTGTCCTATCCACTTCCAGCGCTTCTTCCTGATTTCTTCCTCCGCTGGGATCTGGTTTAATCTCTCCCACAGTACGTTGTTGCTAATAGTGTCCGGCCAACGGATCTGAAGTATTTTGCGTAGACAACTGTTAAAAAACACCTGTTTTTTCTGGATGATGGCTTTCGTAGTTCTCCAGGTTTCCGCCCCATACAGTAGAACTGTATTGACATTTGTATTGAAAATCCTGACCTTGGTGTTG